TCACCTGGGCGAGAGCCTCAGTGTCAGCAGTGGCAAAGACCAAGTCGTCGACGTACACGAGGATGTAGAACGGCGGCAGCGAAGTGTCGGTGCGCAGAAACAGCGACGGGTCAGCAGTAGAAGGCACGAACCCAAGAGCCGCAAGTGTAGTCCTCAGTGTGTCGTGCCACTCACGTGGCGCCTGGCGGAGACCGTAGACCGGCCGGCGGAGGCTCCACTGGGTACCAGGAGGAAACGACCCAGTGAAGCCAGGAGGGCGGCGCAGCCAGATCTCCTCGTGCAGGCTGCCCTGCAAGAAAGTTGTGCTGAAGTCAAGAGAGTGAAGCTCGTAGTCACGCTGAGCGGCAACGTGGAGTAGCACCCGAAGAGTGGTCATCTTCGGGGTGGGGGAGAAGGTCTGGAAGAAGTCTACTCCCTCTCGCTGACTGAAGCCTCAAGCAACGTAACGAGCCTTGAAGACAGGCGGAGAACCTGGCGGCCGCTTCACCCTGAAAATCCACATGCCACTGACGATGTTCGCCCCAGGAGGGGGAACCTCGTCGACGTAAGTGCTAGTGGACTTCCAGGATGCCATCTCTACATCCATGGCTGACTGCCACTGAGAGGAGTACTCACCCGCGATCGCCTCAGCGTAAGAGCGCGGGGTCGGGATGTCTGGTGCATCCGGGTCTCCCTCAGGTGCAATCAGCATGGACACGAGATGAGGTACAGCAGCGGCAAAGCACTCAAACTCCTCCTGCCTGTCCTCAAGGACGTCCGTGCCTAGAGCACACTCACCCCCGACGGACGGAGGACAGACAGACTCAGACTCAGCAACAAGACTCGCGGCGTAGTCTAGACGACAGCGAGCAACAAAGTCGACAAGCTCAGCAACAAAGGCAGACGCAGCAGCAGACTCAAAGGAAGGGTCAGTGACAGCAGTGGCCAGGAGACGCGTGACAGTAGGACTAGCAGCACGAAGAGAGTCGGACTCCGGGTCAGCAAGGGCAGGAAGAGAGGACACAGGAGAAGGCAGAGGGACACGCTGCGGAGCAGTGGAAAGACGAAGCGTCATCTGGTGAGTGCCTGGGACAGCAGGAGGACGATGACGCGGGACACGACGACCAGTGCGAGCAGCACGAACAGGCGACGCAGAACGAGACTCAGGCGACATAGGACGAGACTCAGGCTGACGACGCTCCGTAAGACCTCCTGTCGGACCAGTGTAGGGAGAAGGACCAAGGAGGGGCGAGGCAGGCTGTAACTGTAACTGCGATTGGACAGGCTGGCGACACTCTAAGGAGGGAGCAGGACAAGGAGGAAGAGCCTGACCAAGAACCTGCTAAAGGAGCGGAACGAAGTACGGCCGTGGCCGTGAAGCGCCCCCAGAACCAGCAGAGACAGCACCAGAACCCCCAGCAGCAGCTCCAACTCCTGTAGCACTACCAGCAGCTCAAGCAGCGCCAACTCCAGTACCCCCAGTAGTACCAGCTCCAGCCGCACCGTCGGCTCCAGCACCTGCAGGACCAACCCCAGGGTCAGCAGCTACACCAACTCCAGTAGGCCCAGCGTCCTCAGCTCCACCGGCAGCTCCAGCACCGCCAGCACCTGCAGCTCCAACTCCAGCACCAGCAGCACCTCCAGGACCTGAGGCTCCAGTACCTCCAGCCGCACCAGGGCCTCCAGTGAGCGGCACCCCAGTGCTAGGAGCGCCGCTCCGGAGGCTGCAGCGGCGAGCGTACCACTCACGCAGTCGTTGTGGGGAGGGAGGCGCCGGCTGCGACACAGTACCCGAAGCACCACCAGCTCCAACTCCGGCAGAACCCGCAGCTCCAGCAGCCCCACGCCGGAGGTTGTAACGCTGAGAGTACCACTCACGCAGCTGCTGTGAAGAGGGAGCGTCACCAGGCGCAGGACGGTCAGTCTCAGCTCCCTCAGGCTCAGCACCCCAAGGCTCAGCACCCCTAGGCTCAGCACCCCGAGGCTCAGCACCCCCAGTCTCAGCACCCCCAGGCTCAGCACCCCCAGTCTCAGCACCCTCAGGCTCAGCACCCCCAGGCTCAGCACCCTCAGTCTCAGCACACCCAGGCTCAGCACCCCCAGTCTCAGTACCCCCAGACGCCATACCCCTCGCAGGACCAGAGTCGACAGCTACCTCGACAGGCTCGACCGGGTCTACCTGGGAAACACCTGAGGGAGCAGGACCCTGGGGAGGGAGGGGGTCTACCGAAGTAGCACCTGGCGTGAGGAAGAGCGGCGGGGGGGGAAGCGGCGCAGTGCGGTAGGGGAACAGACGGTAAAAGGGTACCGACTCGTCAAAAGTGACGTCCTGAGAGGGGAAGACACGGCGCGAGGTGGGGTGGTAAAACTGCCAGCCAGGCGCGTCAGGGACAAAGCCAAGAAAGACGCAGGGAACGGCACGGGAGGAGAGCTTGTCCGCGGACGTATCGCGGACAAAGGCTCGACATCCCCAGACTCGGAACACCGACGCATCGCCAACCTTCCCCGTCCAACGCAGTATGGGCGAGGTCTCCGGAGCAGAGACACGGGGCCAGAGGTTGAGCTGATGCGCAGCGTACTGTACTGCAAACGGCCACAGAAAATGGGGGGCAGCCGCGTGGATCATGGAGGTACGAGCGACCTCTATGACGAAGCCAATGCGGCGCTCAGCAATCCCATTCTGTTGTGGAGAGGCCGGAAGAGTGAACGTCTGGCGGATGCCGTGCTCCGCACAGTAGGCTGCCAAGAGGTCGGAGGAAAACTCACCACCCCTGTCAGAGTGCAGACGCAGGACTGGAAAGTCCGACTGGAACCGGTCGCGGAGCTGGAGACGAGCAGCGCGGATCCAAGGGATCAAAACATCAGGGACCTCACCCTTGCTGCGCAAGGGGAAGACCGTGGTGTAGCGCGTGTAGTCGTCGACAACCAGCAGGAAGTACCGCTCGTGGCCCTGTCCACGGACGCGGGCTGGGCCCCACACGTCCAGGTGAAGAGTCTGTAGAGGAGCCTCTGTGGGAGGGAACGAGGAGGAGTGAGGAGTGGCGCGCTGCCGCCCCTCAACACAGGGAAGACAGGGAGGAGCAGGCGAGGGTGGGAGCGGAGGGAGAATCCTGGGAAGACCAGAGACAAGGTACCGGGAGTGCATGCCACGAAGGCGCTGCACTGAAGGGTGACCAAGGCGGTGGTGCCAGAGGACGGTCTGGTGCGACAGGGAGTGACACGAGCAGGGGGCCGACAGCTGACCTGACGCAGACGCAGATGCAGCTACCTGAGGGGACTCAGTGGTCAGTGTGTACAGGTCCGACCCCGGCTGCCGAGTGAAGGTAGCCAGGTGGCGACCCGTCCGAGCACACGTACAGTGGGTCACACGCTCATAGGCAGGGGTGAACTGGTGAACACCCCCGTCCTGGAGAGCAGATCCCGCCACCAAGTTCGTAGAGAACGAGGGGAGGTAAAGACCCGACAGGGTGCTGGACGGGACCGCAGGACAAGGGAGGACAGTGGAGGAGGTCGCCAGGACCGGGCCCCCAGAGGGGTCAGCGAGGGAGACAGCAACAGGCCGAGCTAGCTGCTCAAGGACAGTGCGGTCACGAAAGAAGCAGCGGGAAGCACCCGCGTCCAGTGTGAAGGTGTGCAGTGCCTTAGTAGACGCAGTACTAGCAGGCGCAGACGCACGAGCACCTGGAGCAGCAGACTCACGAGCACCTAGAGCAGCAGCCTCACCAGGACCTAGGGCAGCAGACGCACTAGCACCTGGATCGGCAGTCTCACTGGTCCCAATACCCGGGTCGGGCGGTACACTCAGGTAGCAGTCACCCTCAACACTAATAGTCAATGCATACATAGCACCAAGGATAACATCAAAATCAAGAGCAAAGATATCAATTCCCTTCTTAAGCAGATCAGCCCAGCGGGGCAGCTCAGAGGCGTCAGGGAACTGCTCGCGCCAGGCGTCGTCGAGACGAAAGAAGCAGCGCTGCGCCGTGTGAAACCTCCCACAGGTCTGGCCAGTGCGGTCACCTGTGCGGATGACGTACGGGCAGGTACCTCCACCCCCAGACCCCCCACGCTGAGAGTACCACTCACGGAGCTACTGGGACGACGGGGTCTCGCCGGGACGCTGCTGCTGCTGCCTCTGGCCACCTCCGATCCCCCCACGCTGCACCGCTCCACCGCGCCCGCCACCAGCTCCACTGCCGCCACCACTGCCACCACCACCCCCGCCACCCCCGCCACCACCGCCGCCACCACCCCCGGCTCCGCCACTGACCCCCCCACCACCAGCACCACTCCCACCACCGCCACCACCCCCGCCGCCTCCACCCCCTCCACCACCCCCGCCACCCCTGCCCCCCTTGCCCCTGCCGCCCTTGCGCCTCCCACTAGGAGCAGACGCAGCCCCGACCCCCTCAGCACCGAGGTAGTCGACAGCAGCAGCAGATGCAATGGAGGGGAGGAGGGGGACGGGGGAGCACCCCTCAAAGAAGGGGGCGCGAGGGTCGCCACGAGAGGCACCTACAGCTACAATGCTCTTCTCAGCTGCTAGGAGTTCCTTCTCGAGTAGGTCGACATTGAGGTCGGTAGGGGAGAGGGCGAGAAAGTGGTCCCTGACAGTGCGAAGGGAGTCAGGGAGGCGGATGACCAGGTGATAGAGTGTGAGGTTCGTCGGGAGAGGGTTCTTGGCTAGGAAATCGGGGGGAAGCGTGGCACGGTAGCGAAGATCACTAGTACGGAGGTGCATGATGAGGTCAGCTACAGTGGCAAAAGCAGACAGATCGGGGAAGAGATAGGGCAATGAGAGACGGCCTATCACAGCAGTAGCAGGGGAGGAGTAGCGTGCAACTACAAGGTCGTACAGCTCCTTAGCGGTCTTATGCTGGCCAAAGTGCTCGCGCTCATCTAACGGTAGGTGGCTGCGAACGGCTAGGCGAGCATGAGCGTCACGGGTCTGCCACTGTGAGCGAGCAGTGCTGTCAGCAGTAGCAGCAGGTGCGGGAGCGGCGCCGGACGTGTGGTCAAACATGTGCTGCTACCCTTCTGCCCCTCCTATTGTGCCTATTTCTCCCCGTCTCCCTCCACCCGCGCACCACCAGAAGCAAGGAGCCAACCCAGCAGGCCCCGTCCTCCCGACCGTAAGCCGGCAAAGCTCAGGTGGCAGGTGGAGGAGCTGTCTTCGCAACACGCCCTGCTGCCCTTCTCCCCCCCCTCCCCATCTCCCCCCTCTCCCCCCGTGCCCCCAGAAGAAGGGAGCCAAGCCAGCAGCCCCGGTCCCCCCGGTGGTGTAGCTGGCGAAGCTCAAGGTGCAGGTGGAGGAGCTGTCGTCGCAACACGCACTGCTGCATGGCAAGCTGGACTCCCTTCTTGCCGCCGCTGGGGGCGTTGCTGTTCCCGGGGGTGGGGAGAACGGTACTGCTGCTAGGGGTGGTTCTGGGGAAAGTGCTTCTGGTGATGCCATTGGTGGGGGTGGTGTTGGAGGGAACAGTAACAGTAGCAGCAATTGGGTTGCTGCGCAGGCAGTGGGGAAGCTGCTGGAGCCACTAAAAGCGTAGGTGCGGCGCAGTGAGGAGCGGTTGAAGGCGGCGCAGGAGAGGGTTGACGTGGTGGAGAAGGAACTGGCGGACAACACGGAGGTGCTGCAGCAGCTGCAGGTGGAGGTGGCCATTGGTGGGGGGAGAGGTGAGAGCCGCTCTTCTTCTCCTTTCTTGATAACATCCCACCTGATTAGCTTGTATAGCACGGAGGTGCTGCAGCAACTGCAGGGGCATGTGGTCAAACGAGCCTGCAGCAGCGACGGTCGTTCAATCCCCAGCCGAGCCTGCTGCGGTTGTCATTCCCTCTCATGCTCCCATTTCTCCTCTTATTCTCCCTTCCCATTTTTGTACTGTTTCCCCCTACTCCCCTCGCACCCACCGTCCCACATTCAGTCACATCTGATCCAGCAACAGCATCTGGTGCAGCAGCAGAAGGCCCGGAGGCAACCACAGCAGCACTTGCCACACCCAACGAGCCTGCAGCAGTGATGGTCGTTTTATCCCCAGATGAGCCTGCTGCAGTCGTCATTCCCAAACCTAACGAGCCTGCAGTGGTGGTCGTACCAGCACCGAGCGAGCCTGTGGCAGTAGTTGCCCCAGCAGCACCGACTGATTCCGTACCAGTACGAAACAAACCCGCGTCGGTTGTTTTCCCAGGCCCCTCTGATGCTCCTGGCCCTGCTGCTGCTACTACTATTGTACCAGCAGAAGGTGGGGCGGAGAACGCTGCTGCTGCTGTTGCTGCAATGGGAGGGAAGGGTGGAGGGAAGGAGGGCGAGGAGGAGGCGGAAGGGGAGGGGGAGGAGGGGGAGGAGAAGGATGATGCTGACTTGGGTCCTCCAGAGGATTACCCTGGGAAAGGGGAGCTTGGGGAGGAGGGAGAGGAGGAGGGAAAGGAGGGAGAGGAGGAGGGGAAGGAGGAGGGAGATGAGGGAGAGAAGGGTGGGAGGAGGATGGAGGAGAGAGGAAAGAAGGGGAGGTTGAGCATGTTGGGAAGAAGAGTGTTGGGATTGCAGGGGAGACAGAGGCGGGAGGTGAGGAGGAGGGTGGGGAAGGGGATGAGGAGGAAGGAGAGGAGGCGGAGGCAGGGCAGGAAGGGGGAGGAAGGGGAGGAAGGGGAGGAGGGAGAGGAGGGGGAGGATGAGCCACCAGCAACGCCAGGAGGCATAGATGTGGCAGAGGTTCAGCAATGCGGTGATGATATGATGGATGGAAGCAGTGGTAGTGAATGGTGTGAATGTTGGTGAGTGGTGGTGAATGGTGGTGATGGTGATTGTGATTGGAGTGCTTGGGGAGGAGTTACGAGCAACGCCGGGAGGCATAGTGTGGCGGAGGTGCAGCAGTACAGTGATGAGGTGAGACGGAGGGCAAGGGAGGATAGGGGAGCCAATAAGGTGATGATGGTGATGGTTCTCGACCTGCCACCAGATGTCAAGACATGGAAGCAGCTCGTCATTGTTTCAAACGTACCATCTCTTCCCACCATTCTGTCTCACCCCTTTCACCCTCTCATCCATCCTTTACCCATGCCACGCCAGGTTTCGACCTGCCACCAGAGGCTAAGGCATGGAAGCAGCGCTCTCTTGTGCACATCACACCCAACCTGCACCTCTTCAGGTGACCTCTTCCTGCTTCTGCTGTTGCTGTACTGCTGCATTGCGGATTTGCAGCTCATGTACTTGTTCTTTGCACAACATGCTGCATCTCTATTGTGCACATCACACCCGACCTACAACTCTTCAAGTGAGCGTCTTCTGCTGCTTTGCTTGCATTGCCGCATTTGCTCGTGACAAAATAGAAAGAATGCTTTGAGACGACCCGAAGCATCTCTCCACAACACCTTCTCTCCCATGAAATGAGGGTGCTTTTGAGACGTCTCAAAAACTTTTCCCAGGCCGAATGCTCTCGTGCCTCCCTCCCCTCTCCCTTCCCTGCTCTCCCCCATCGCCTCCCTCCTATGGCTATAACCCACACACCATAGCGCTCATGGGCCTGCTGTTTCCAGCCATGCCCACTCTTCCCCTCCACAACTGTCTTTTCCGCCAGACTAACTCACTGCTCCCATGCCCGTTCCTCTCCTCCCCACTCCCTCTCCTCCTCTCAGTCCTCCCTTCTCCCTCCTCCCCCCTTCCGCTTTCCCCCCCTCTCTCCCCTCTCCCCCATCCTCCCCCATAGTGCATACCGCTAAAACCCGCACACCATAGAACTCGTGGGCCTGCTGACTTCCGATGTCCCCACTCTCCCTCTCGACAATTGTCTCTTCCGCCAGACCGACGGCTCCCAGCCGATTGCAGGCTCGCTGCTGCGCCTGCAGGTGGAGGTGAGATGAGGCTGCTGGGTTCTTGGGTTGGGTTGGAGGCGAGGCAAGGCTGTCCAGTCCAGCTATGTGTTGTGCTAGGCAGTGTTTCTCTGGAGTCACATTTGAGAATTCTGCTAAGCGACCCTACAAGGACAGCAGTGCTCTGCTTTCAAGGCAACACGGCCATCCCCCCTACTCATCCACCCCTTTCGCCTCCCTTAATACCTCCTCGGAGCACCTCGGCAGTGGTGCTGAGATCTGAAGGCAGTGGTGCTGAGATCCGAAGGCAGTGGTGCTAAGTTCTGAAGGCAGTGGTGCTGAGATATGAAGGCAGTGGTGCTGAGATCTGAAGGCAGTGGTGTTGAGATCTAAAGGCAGTGGTGCTGAGATCTGAAGGAACAGGTGTTGAGATCTGAAGGCAACACCACCAACTACTCACTCACCCCTCTTCCCCCCCTATCCCCCCTCTTCCTATCTCCTTTTCCTCCTCCCCCGCCTCCCTTTTCGGTCCCCCCTCAAAGCACCTCGGCAGTGGTGTTGAGGTTTAAAGGTGGCACCAGCATCTCTCCTATCAACCTACCCCTCCTCTCTCCCCCCTTCCCCTTGCCCCTTTCCCGTTCCCCTTCCCCTCTCCCCCTTCCCCTTCTCCCTCTCGCCGCCCCTCAGAGCACCTCGGCAGTGGTGCTGAGATTTGAAGGCGACACTGATTTCCCACCCTGTGGCGTCTATCTCGAAGGCACTGCTGCTCAGCATTCTCCCTTCCCCTCTCCCACGTCCCCACCTCCCCACTCTCCCCATCGCTCCCCTCAGAGCACCTCGGCAGCGGTGCTGAGGTTTGAAGGCGACGCTGCCATTCCTTCTACTCACCCACCCCTCTCCCCATTCTCCTTTCCCCTGTCCCTCCTCCCCACCTTCCTGCTCCCCTACTCGCCCCCTCCTCAGAACACCTCGGCAGTGGTGCTGAGATGTGAGGGCGACATTGTTCTTCCACCTTGTGGGGGCTATCTCGAATGCACTACTGCCGCTGGGGCTGCTGGGGATGTTGCTGCAACTGCTGGGGGTGCTGCTGCTGCAGCAGCCGGAACGAAAGTGGTTGTGTACACTGAAGGCCGAGGGGAGGTGAGTGAGAGAGAGGAGGGGAGAAATGGGGGTGTTCATTTCTGGAGAGATTGTGTATAATGAGAGGAGGTAGGAGGTAGGCGAACAGGGAGGTAAGGCGAAAGGCATGTGTTTTAAATGGGAAGGATGGGAAAAGGGTTGTTCTGTGTACACAGAAGGCCAAGAGGAGGTGAGTGCATGGGGAAGTGAGAGTGTGTGATTCCCGTCGTCCCCTCGCTCCTTGGTTCCTTCCCCACAATTCCCCACCCCTCCTCATGCTCAGTGCCTTATCTATTGGGCCATGGAGTCACGAACATCTCAATTTATTTTCATGTCAACGTTTTTTACAAAACACTCTTCCTTCACACCCTCCACACACCTCTCACTATCTGCTCGCTTCTCGTAACAAGCAACGGCATCACCTTTCCCTTCTCTGCACCCCTTTTCCGCCACTCTTCCTTCCTTTCACAGCTCATCACCTTGTCTTCACCCCTCTTCATTTCCCCTCGCAATCTGCTCGCTCCCCCTTCTTCTTCCCCGCCTCTTTTCCTTGATTATTTCTCTTCCCTCATGGCTCTCCACACCCCCCCACCCCCCTCCCCCCTCTTGCCCCTCACCATCTGCTCGCTCCTCATAACAAACAGCGTTCCCCTTTTCCGTCCTTGTGCCCTTTGCATCCCACTCTTCCCTCCTTCCATCTTTCCCTCCCGGCCCTCACCCGTCCCCACATCCCTCACTGTATGCTCGCTCCTTCAAAAAATGCAGCATCTTCTATATCTTCCCTGCACCCGTTGTGCCCCACTATCCCTCCCTTCCCCACATATTTCCACACCTCCCTCGCCCCTCCCCACGCCGCTCACCATGTGCTCGTTCCTCATAACAAGCGGGTTTTCTTTTCCTTCCGGGCACTGCACCCTTATCATTTCATCCCACTGTTCCCTCCCTTCCCCGCAGCTTTCCACCCCGCCCTCGCCGCTCCCCACGCCCCTCACCATCTGCTCGCTCCTCGTAACAAACAGCGTATTGTCGCCCCGCCTGCGCTAGTGGCTGGACTACCACCGGGTGGCGGCGGGGGCGGCGAGGTTTGTCCTGTACCGACACAGCAAGAGCCACTGGCTTACGGAGCTGCGGCAGGCAGTGGGGGTATATGAGGAGATGGGGATGGCGGAGGTGACAGATATTGTTGGGGCGGAGAAGGAACAGGAGAAGGTGAGGATGGCAAAGGGGTGGTGGGGATGAGGGGGGTGCATGTTGGTGCGTGAGCTCAGGGCAAGAAAGGCGGTGGGGGACTATGAGGAGATGGGGATGGTGTGGAAGTGACAGATATTGTTGAGGTGGACAAGGAGCATGAAAAGGTGAGGAGACAAGGGGGATGAGGGTAGGACGAGGTGGGGATGAGGGGGGGATGAGGGGAGATGAGGGGGGGAATGAGGGGGGAATGAGGGAGGGGTGAGGGTGATGTATGTTGGTGCATGAGGGCAAGCAAGGCAATGGGGGAATTCGAGAGGATAAGGATGGTGTAAGTGACTAACATTGTTGGGACGAAAAAGCAAGAGGAGGAGGTGAGGGGGAAGAAGTAAGGAGGGAGGTGGTGTGCATGCTGTTGAGGGGGATATGTGGTGGTGCATGAACTCGGGGCAAGGAATAGTGGGGATGGTTGGGATGGTGGGGATCGTGGGGATGGGGGAAGTGACAGATTCAAATACTATATTTTAATATCCTCATTTCATTCCCCCTTTCCGACCCCTTTCCCCACACCCTTCCCCCCACACTCCCCTTCCCCACTCTCCCTTCTCCTTCCCCCCTCCCCAGACCAGATTCTCGCACTGCAGGACTGTCTCTACCGTACATCCCTCTCCTCTGCCTGGACCCTCCCCCTCGACCTCAGAGAGTATGTCTCCACCCTATTACTTCAACCCTCTCACCCCTTTCCACACCCTTCTCCACCCCACAACGACAGGTCCTCGCACTGCAGGACTGTCTCTACCGCACATCCCTCTCCTCTGCCTGGACCCTCCCCTTCGACCTCAGAGAGCATCTCTCCGCCCTTTTACTTCAACCCTCTCACCCCTTTCGACACCCTTCTCCTCCCCAAAACGATAGGTCCTTGCCCTGCAGGACTGTCTCTACCGCACCGCCCTCTCCTCTGCCTAGACCCTACCCCTCGACCTCGACGAGTATCTCTCCGCCTTGCCCTCCGCTACACTCCCCTTTGTTCATTCTTCCCATCTTCTTTCCCTGATTTGACCCCCCTTCCTCATATTCCCCCCATATTTCTTACCACCCATGACAGATTCCCGCCCTGCAAGACTGTCTCTACCGCACCCCCCTCTCATCCGCCTGGACTCTTCCCCTAGACCTCCACGAGTACCTCTCCGCCTCGCCCCCCTTGCACCCTCCCCTTTGTTAATTCTTCCCCATGTTCTTTCCCTCCTATCACCCCACTCACCAGATCCTAGCCCTGCAAGACTGTCTCTACCGCACCTCCCTCTCCTCTGCCTGGACTTTCCCCCTCGACCTAGACGGGTAACTCTCCGCCTTGCCCCCCGCCACCCTCCCCTCGCTCCTCTCCCCCTCCTCCCCCTCCTCCCTCGCCACCTCCCCCTACGTTTCCCTGGGTGCAGTGCGGTGGAGCACGGTGGTCTGCCAAATGCTATATCTGCTACAGTTGGTTTAGGCTGTAGTGGGGTAGTTCCTATGGGGTACAGTAAGTTTAGGTTTTACTACTTGTATCCAACTCTTTCCTAGTTCATTCACTTCTTTCATTCTGACATGGTATTACGAGCCTAGGTTAGGAACCTAGGACCGCTAGTTCCTAAGGGCCCACCGTTCCGCTAGAAGCGCCCTCGTGCGCCCTTCCTCTCACGCTGCCCGTGCGCAGCCGCTAGCCTCCCGCGCGCGCGGCTCGTTTTTCGAGCGCGTAGCCCGCTAGCCGCCCGCGCGCGGCCCTTTTCTCGTGCGCGCGACCCGCTAGCCGCCCGCGCCGTCGACGCCGCCCACGCACGGCCCGCCCTGGCCTCGCGCGGCCCCTAGCACAGCCCGCGAGCTGCTCGTCGACCGCCGCGCGCCGCCGCCTCGTGCACGCAGGCCGCCGCCCGCACTAGACCGCCGCCCGCACGTAGGCCGCCGCACTCACGACGGCTGCCGCCCGCACGTAGGCCGCCGCCTCGCACAACCGCAGACCACGCGCCGGCCCACCCTCCCTGACCGAGCCGCGCCGCGCCGTCCTGCCCGAGCCGCGCCGCCCTGACCGAGCCGCGCCCGCGCCGCCCTGACCGAGCCGCGCCGCCCTACTGTGCCCCACATGCAGCACCTGCTGCTCCTGTTACTGCTACTGCTACTACTGCTATTGCTGCTACTGTTCCTACTGCTGCTACTGCCACTATGGCCAGTCCTACGGTTCTCACTTTTGACGCTGAGGGCCGTCCGATTAAGTTTGACGTTTGGCTCGATGACCTGCACCTGTTCCTCTAGATCACTGCCAAGGACGATGTTTCCCTGTTTGACCACACGTCCGGCGCCGCTCCCGTACCTGCTGCTAATGCTGACAGTGCTGCTCGCTCACAGTGGCAGACCCGTGACGCTCATGCTCGCCTAGCCGTTCGCAGCCACCTGCCGTTAAATGAGCGCGAGCATTTTGGCCAGCATAAGACCGCTAAGGAACTGTACGATGCTGTAGTTGCACGCTACTCCTCCCCCGCTACTGCTGCGATAGGCCGTCTCTCGCTGCCCTATCTCTTCCCCGATCTGTCTGCCTTTGCCACTGTAGCTGACCTCATCACGCACCTCCGTACTAGTGATCTTCGCTACCGTGCCGCGCTTCCCCCCAATTTCTTAGCGAAGAACCCTCCCCCGATGTACCTCACACTCTACCACCTAGTCACCCGCCTCCCTGACTCTCTTCACACTGTCAGGGACCACTTTTTCGCCCTCTCCCCCACCGACCTCACTGTCGATCTGCTCGAGAAGGAACTCCTAGCAGCTGAGAAGAGCATTGTAGCTGTAGGTGCCTCTCGTGGCGACCGTCGCGCCCCCTTCTTTGAGGGGTGCTCCCCCGTCCCCCTCCTCCCCTCCATTGCATCTGCTGCTGCTGTCGACTACCTCGGTGCTGAGGGAGTCGGGGCTGCGTCTTCTCCTAGTGGGAGGCGCAAGGGCGGCAGGGGCAAGGGGGGCAAGGGTGGCGGAGGTGGTGGCGGGGGTGGCGGTAGTGGAGGGGGTGGAGGGGGCGGGGGTAGTGGCGGTGGTGGGAGTGGTGCTGGTGGTGGGGGGGTCAGTGGCGGAGCCGGAGGTGGTGGCGGCGGCGGTGGTGGGGGTGGCGGGAGTGGTGGTGGCAGTGGTGGCGGCAGTGGAGCTGGTGGCGGGCGCGGTAGAGCGGTGCAGCGTGGGGGGTTCGGCGGTGGCCAGAGGCAGCAGCAGCAGCGTCCCAGCGATACCCCGTTGCCCCAGCAGCTCCGTGAGTGGTACTCTCAGCGTGGGGGGTCTGGGGGTGGAGGTACCTGCCCGTACGTCATCCGCACAGGTGACCGCACTGGCCAGACTTGTGGGAGGTTTCATACGGCACATCGCTGCTTCTTTCGTCTCGACGACGCCTGGCGCGAGCAGTTCCCTGACGCCTCTGAGCTGCCCCGCTGGGCTGATCTGCTTAAAAAGAACATTGATATCTTTGCTCTTGATTTTGATTCTATCCTTGGTGCTATGTATGCATTGACTATTAGTATTGAGGATGACTGTTACCTGAGTGTACCGCCTGACCCGGCTATTGGGACCAGTGAGGCTGTCGCTCTAGGTGCTAGTGCGTCTGCTGCCCTAGGTCCTAGTGAGGCTGCTGCTCTAGGTGCTAGTGAGTCTGCTGCTCCAGGTGCTAGTGCGTCTGCGCCTGCTGGTACTGCGCCTACTGAGGCACTGCACACCTTCACAGTGGACGCGGGTGCTTCCCGCTGCTTCTTTCGTGACCGCACTGTCCTTAAGCAGCTAGCTCGGCCTGTTGCTGTCTCCCTCGCTGACCCCTCTGGGGGCCCGGTCCTGGCGACCTCCTCCACTGTCCTCCCTTGTCCTGCGGTCCCGTCCAGCACCCTGTCGGGTCTTTACCTCCCCTCGTTCTCTACGAACTTGGTGGCGGGCTCTGCTCTCCAGGACGGGGGTGTTCACCAGTTCACCCCTGCCTATGAGCGTGTGACCCACTGTACGTGTGCCCGGACGGGTCGCCACCTGGCTACCTTCACTCGGCAGCCGGGGTCGGACCTGTACACACTGACCACTGAGTCCCCTCAGGTAGCTGCGTCTGCGTCTGCGTCAGGTCAGCTGTCGGCTCCCTTCTCGTGTCGCACCCTGTCGCACCAGACCGTCCTCAGGCACCACCGCCTTGGTCACCCGTCAGTGCAGCGCCTTCATAGCATGCACTCCCGGTACCTTGTCTCTGGTCTTCCCAGAGTTCTCCCTCCCCTCCCACCCTCGCCTGCTCCTCCCTGTCTTCCCTGTGTCGAGGGGCGGCAACGCGCCGCTCCTCACTCCTCCTCGTTCCCTCCCACAGAGGCTCCCCTGCAGACTCTCCACCTGGACGTGTGGGGCCCAGCCCGCGTCCGTGGACAGGGCCATGAGCGGTACTTCCTGCTGGTCGTCGACGACTACACGCGCTACACCACGGTCTTTCCCTTGCGCACCAAGGGTGAGGTCCCTGATGTTTTGATCCCTTGGATCCGCGCTGCTCGTCTCCAGCTCAGCGAGCAGTTCCAGTCGGACTTTCCAGTCCTGCGTCTGCACTCTGACAGGGGTGGTGAGTTTTCCTCCGACCTCTTGGCAGCCTACTGTGCGGAGCACGGCATCCGCCAGACGCTCACGCTTCCGGCCTCTCCGCAGCAGAATGGGGTTGCTGAGCGCCGCATTGGCTTAGTTATGGAGGTCGCTCGTACCTCCATGATCCATGCGGCTGCCCCCCGTTTCCTGTGGCCGTTTGCAGTGCAGTACGCTGCGCATCAGCTCAACCTCTGGCCCCGTGTCTCTGCTCCGGAGTCCTCGCCCATACTGCGTTGGACGGGGAAGGTTGGCGATGCGTTGGTGTTCCGGGTCTGGGGATGTCGAGCCTTTGTCCGTGATACGTCCGCGGCAAGCTCTCCTCCCGTGCCGTTCCCTGTGTCTTCCTTGGCTTTGTCCCTGACGCGCCTGGCTGGCAGTTTTACCACCCCACCTCGCGCCGTGTCTTCCCTCTCAGAATGTGACTTTTGACGAGTCGGTACCCTTTTACCGTCTGTTCCCCTACTGCACTGCCACGCTTCCCCCCCCGCTGCTCTTCCTGACCCCAGGTGTCCCTTCGGTAGACCCCCTCCCTCCCCAAGGTCCTGCTCCTTCAGGTGTTTCCCAGGTAGACCCGGTCGAGCCTGTCGAGGTAGCTGTCGACTCCGGTCCTGCGAGGGGTACTGAGCCTGGGGGTGCTGAGACTGGGGGTGCTGAGACTGGGGGTGCTGAGCCTGGGGGTACTGAGCCTGGGGGTGTTGCGACTGGGGGTGCTGAGCCTGGGGGTGCTGAGCCTGGGGGTGCTGCGATTGGGGGTGCTGAGCCTAGGGGTGCTGCGACTGGGGGTACTGAGCCTGGGGGAGCTGAGGCTGGGGGTTCTGAGACTGACCGTGTTGCGCCTGGTGGCGCTCCCTCTTCACAACAGCTGCGTGAGTGGTACTCCCAGAGTTGCAGCCTCCGGCGTGGGGCTACTGGAGCTGGGGGTTCTGCTGGAGTTGGGGCTGGTGGTCCTGCGGGTACGGTGTCGCGGCCGGAGCCTCCCTCCCCTCAGCGACTACGTGAGTGGTACGCCTGGCGCTGCACCCTCCAGAGTGGAGCTCCTAGTGTTGGGGTTCCGATCGCTGGAGGCCCTGGTGCTGCTGGAGGTGCTGGAGCCTCTGGTCCTGGAGGTGCTCGTACATGCGGTACTGGAGCTACTGGGACTGGAGGTTCTGCTGGAGCTGGTGCTGGTGCTGCTGGAGCGGGTACTGCTGGAGGTGCTGCTGGTGCTGCTGCTGCTGGAGGTACTGGAGCTGCTGGAGGTGCTGCTGGTGCTGGTCCTGCTGGAGGTGCTGCTGGTGCTGCTGGAGGTACTGGAGCTGCTGGAGCTGCTGGTGGTGCTGCGGGAGTTGTAGCTGGAGACCCTGGGGCTGAGGGTACTAGTGCTGTCTCTACTGGTTCAGGAGGTGCTGCACGGCTGCTGCCGTACTTCGTTCCGCTCCTTCAGCAGGTTCTTGACCTCCCGCCCTCTACTGGTCCTACTCCTCCCCTACTGAGTCCACCGCCTGTCCAGTCACAGTCACAGTTACAGCCTGCCTCTCCGCTGCCTGGTCCTTCTCCTTACGCTGGGCCGACTAGAGGTCTTACG